GTAAAGGGAAGGACGGGTGTGCAGATCCCCCCTCTAGCAGGCGCACGGAATCCACAACCTGTCAGCAATTGTTTACCCAGGGGAGCGGAAGGGGCGCAGAACGGCCAGACATCCACCAGATAAAAGAATAAGTCCGGTAAGGCATCAGTGACCTTGCGGTGGAACCATCTTGAGTCATCACTCCGGCAGTCCCGGGTCGCGTATGCCAAGACTGACAACATCCCGGTCCCGATTTGACCCCATGGGCGGGGCAGGTTAGGCAAATAAGACCTGCTTAGTGACATCGAGATTACTTTAATGCACCAGCATTCCCCACTCCCAAGCGAAAGGGATGAATGGGCAACCTTGGTCCTACGGTATTTGATTACGAAATGAGCCTAGCTAAGTTTGAACTTTGTTGGTACCTCCGTACTTAGCGGGAGTGCTCACTCAAGTTATCAGTTACACGTTAAATTTTAGTGCCATCCATCGCAAAGAATTAGTACGCCATGCGAGTACTGTACATCCAAGTTCGAAAGCCAAATTATTAGCCTACAGAGGGTCTGGATGTATCCACTGCAAAGTCATTATCGATCAGCGCCCCGGCAGTTACGGAGCATGACCGGGAGGGTTACACTTTGACGGGGGGGCAGTATGCTGTGTCACCACGCTCTTGTTGCTTAATCAAGCGGGAGTGTTGATGCAAGAAGTTCACACAGGAAGTTTTTATGCAGTGAGCCTTTATGCAGTGAGTTTTTATGCAGTGAGCTTTTATGCAGTGAGTTTTTATGCAGGAAGTTTTTATGACAGTCAAAAGCTGGACGCGCAAAAAGAACGCCTACAAATCTAGCAGTCAACCCTCGTATCAATCAAATCAAAAATGTGGAACTCTGCAACAAGCCTCTCCAGGAATCCATATTTTCCTTCTTCCAGCACCCGGCTTCGGGTCTTGGTGTCCGGATTTGCTCAGCCACGCCTACGGCAACTTTTTTTTTCAGCCCGGTGCACGCCTCGGACCACTCGGGGGACCCATGGGCAGCTGGCACTGTTGGCTTAACGGGGTTGGGGACCCGCGGCCAGGGCAGTCGCCAGACTGTTCAGCCGCGGACTGCACAGTACTTTGCATATGATGCAGGGGACCAAATTTCTCAATAGTGTAGGTCCCGGTTGTTTCGCTGGACGCTTGTCTAAGTTATCATACGGCAAAGACGTTCAACACATGTCATGCGGCCGGGGCCATGAGTTTCTTTTCACCCACCCACACCTAACCGATTCACCAATCGTAACAAACACAATCCGCAAATATTATGCCGGGATCTTAAAGGGTCTGCAGAAATTACGGATTTCCACGCGGCTTGCTTGGGGGATCAGTAGCCTAGGATGGAATAGTTGCCCGACCAGCGTTCTCACCTTCCCTCACTGGAATCATCGGCTCTCCTAGGAAATTTTCCTTATAGCCTGCCTTTTACTTCCTTCTATATATTTCTCGCTGTCCCCCAGATACTCGAGCAGGCTACCCCTAAACAATCAAACCTATCGGCATTCCCTTTTACCTGCTGTATTCCACACAAAAGGTGCGCGCGCAGAATCGGCAAATGTACTGGGTTTGCAAAATATTAAGCCATCATGCTGGTCATCTCGCGGTTTCTGGTGGAAGCTCTGTTACTGAAAATTAGCAAGGCCGATTACGGAGAAAACAGGGGGGTGAGTGACAGCGATGGCAAACGCCCGGGAGCGATAGTGAGGCTTATTGTAGCTTTCCTTGCTTCACTTGTTGGGATTGTGTCTCTTCGAAGCTCCCGGTTTCGTCATTGGGTGTCGCACTCATTACCCGCGAACTTTGTTAGGGTAAATCTACCCCTCCTTGCCCTCCTCCGTAGTATCTTGTATGGGCATTCTTAGTTTTACAATCTTAGGTCCAAAATTCTCGACTTTGCTCTACCAAACCCTACGCCAACGGCTATTACTACTAAGGAGGGCTCGGGCGCCATCCCAACCATCGAGGTTCCTATACCCGGTGCTGTTTTTATATACAATGGCTGCCCCACCTCCCGCCTTGCTCATACCTTCCCATGCGACCGTAGTGGCATCACCGGAGAAGATTATAGAGCACAGCAGGCAGAAGTACTGGGAACAAGGGGGCCAGTGTAGGCAGTCACTGGGCAGTTTCTACGAAGGCAGACTGTTTATCTGGCTATATCGCCCGGATGGCTTGACCCCGTGTAAGTAAAAGTTACCCAACGCCCCCCCCCCCCTTAATCCCCCTACGTCATGAACATGATAACTCTGCTCGCTCTAACCCTACTAACATTTTCTATCAAATGGCTAGAGCGGACTTTTGTTGTCTATGACTGTTTCTCCTAGGAAGGGGAAGCCGTTTAGGGTTGGCCAACTGATATGCTACTGCGTTAGGATAGTACTTTGGCGAAACGGTATACCATCGGAAATACTTGCGCTGGCTCTTTAGTCTCCTTTCGCTATTCTGCTCTTGCCACTTACGAGAGCTGGAGGTCTTCCAAATCGGTTCTCCCCTTATGGTGTCTCTAAAGCGACGGATGCACCCCCAGGTGTGGTCGGAGAGTGCTGTATGTATATCTCGATTTATTCTTGTTAGGGAAATAATTACAAAATAGAAGACAATAAATTCCGGGCATTAAGTTAAATCGTAACTTAAGCAGGAGTCCAGCTACTGGTATTGGCAGGGCAGGCAAAATATATCCGATAGCGACGCCTAGTACCGTGGTAACTTACCACAGCAGGTGCCTACTGCCAGATACTAGTTCAAGGAATGGTGAGGTTTTTTCGGCCAAGAGGAAGATTAGTTTGTCAGCTTAGTAGTCGGTTCCCCTCCTATTTGGCCCTCGCTGATAGGCGGGAAAGGCAAGTGTGGCAGGAAAAGTAAGTGTCAGGCGCGGGCACTTTTTTTCCGCTGAATCCCCCTTCCAGCAACAACAACCCCCGTCATAACATTCCTTCCCGCAAGAACTACAAGTGTAATTGATCCTCAACCACCGACTCTAGGCAGTGAATTTGGGGGTTTGGCGACTGGTGCTACAGGTCAGCCTGTGGAAGAGGGATGTGCGGGACTGGGTGGTAGGATGTACTTTTACCGGTCATAACTGTGAGGATCTTGCTGGTGAATCTAATTCTGATTCTTCTTGTATATCAACTAACTCTATAGTGAGAAATGCCAGCTTGGTATATTTAAACTGAAGTTCTGTAGCGCGCAGTACAGGGCACTAAGAAAATGAGGTTGAAAACTAGGATTATGTAAGCTTTCTTATCTAGGCGAATAAAGGAATAAATAAAGGAATAAAATGCCCGCACGTCACACTTTCTTAAACGTCACACTTGCTTTTCCCGAATACCGGTATGGTGCGGCGGCCCGGCTATTACCGCCCCCCCTTCTCTTCCCCTGTTAAACCCCAGGCTCCACCCGCAGCCCTGCGCTGCAGGAAGAATAAAGGCAAGGATGCTGGAGTGAAGCAAGCGGGTATATTTACAGGGGCGAAAGTTGCGTGCGTTGCAACGCTGACCGTTGTCTGATGCCTCTGTTCTATGATACGGTACTTGAGTATTCTGAACCCCGTGGATACGAGTCCTAGCAGCACCCGAGTCCTTCCACTAGTACGGGAACACCAATAAACACCGCTTTCCATCTGTCTTTATTGGGCCCCTCTTCATCGCCTTTTATCTTTACACTATCGGTCAAATCCTACGAACGTCGGTCACCTATATTTTCCGTCATCTTGTCCTACAGTTTACAAGGCAGTCACTAAGAAATCTAGCCAATTAAAATTATACAAGCGCTCCCTGGTTGAAGTCACTACCCGGTCCTGGAAGCCAACCGAGACACTCCCATCCCGGTACCGTAATCTAGGACAAGGCAGGGTTAGGGGAATAGGCGCTTCACCAATCAGAAGGCGAAATAATTTGCGATGCCCGACGGTTGCATGATACTCCCGCGGCCGAGTTGAAGTTGGACACCCAGATGGAGTAGTGATCGCTGGCCCAATGAATGGGCATATCCGAAGCATCAAGGTGACGACAGTAATTCCATATACCGTATTCTCCAGGTAGGGTATTAAAGGCTGTGATTGATCGGGAATGTCAATCGTTTCATGAAAAGCTTCGAAAAGTAATACTAAGCAATGGAAATAATAATTTCAATGGCTGTATTCCGGGTTATATGGGTATGCGATGGCTTGCCAGGTCATGTAGTATGTATGTGAACACACAGCATTTTTATTCTATATCGTATGTGATTATTAATTGTGTTGCCCTACATCGGTTTGTTATTGGCCTGGCAAGTACTACCCTATGTGGGTGTCCAACTTCAACTCGGCCGCGGGAGTACATGTTACTCGAGTAGATTCGAATGTACAAGTACTAGTACTAGTATCTCCTGGACTGCTGGAACTCTTGAAAATTTCTTCCCGCCCCTGCCAGCGTCTAAGACAGAGAATTCCTTACTACCGGTATTCTTCAGGGTGATGAGCGTAGGTAGTTTATTGTACGATCATGCAGCTACAGTAGTATTGGCAACTGTCTAAATTTTGCATCCCCACCGAACCGTATTATCACAGTTCCCGAGAGTCGCCCATTAATTTGTGTCTCAAGCGACAACCAGGGTGGCAAAATAATCACATTCCATGGGCTTCAAACTAGGAGATAACTGAGGGCAGTTTTTGTGTGGTAACACAAGACCACTGTCGACCTTCCCTTTCCGATAACCAGCCCTCCACCTTCTCGCTCCCATGATGGTTGATTCAGTCTTCCACAGCCCATCTTCCTAATCTGGTTTAGTCTACAATCAGAGCGACCTCCTTGTGCCACTACCAACCCAAAGCCGCCAATTGCCAACCAGAAGGCGAACCCTGACTATTTAGTCTATCGAGGGGGCCTCATAATCGGTCAAGGTGATTCGGTCAGTCTTGGCGTAACTGCGACTACCGGTATCTGGCCCCAAAAGGCAGTGCCCTCCAATTCCCAAAAAACCGCATATCGGCTTACACTGAATCTTGCTGTGTAAGTTGCTCATTGTCCTGATTCTATAAATTTCCCGCTGTTCCTCTTTTACCAGAGCGGACCTTTCCCAAATAATCAACTTATTGGCACCCCTTCTACTACCTGCTGCAATCCACACTGAAAGTACAGATTGGTGAATCTCCCGATTTTGCACAATATTGGGTCGTCATGCCGACGATCTCACGGATTCCGGTCAGAACCTTGTTATCCCAATTCAGCAAACGTGGCGACGGGGAAAACAAAGGCGAGGATAACAACGGTGGCAAAAGCCCGGTAGTCATAGTGGGGCTTGTTGTAGCTGTCCTTACCCTCCTTGTCGGGATCGTGTCTCTTCGAAGCTCACGATTCCATCGTTTGGTTTCCTGTTTATTACCTTTGAGCATCATCAAAGTATACCCACCTTCCCCTGCCCCCCTCAATGTACATTGCATATACATTCTCACACTTACAACCCTGAACAGAAAATCCTTGGACCAGCTCTTCTAGATCCTGCGCCGACAGTCAGTACAGCCAGGGAGGACTCAAGCGCCAATCCACTTCCCGAAACCTCTGTACCCACCCGTGTCTTTATTTACAATAACTATTCCAATGCTACTATTATTGGCACGAATTCCGGCACCATCTCATACGGTAATAGTGGCATCGCCGGAGAAGCTAGTAGGGCGCCGCAAGCAGCGGGACGACATAGGCCGACAGTCGCCGAGCGGTTTCCGTGGAGATAGATGCTTCCTGTGGGTCACGGATCCCAACACACTCTGTGATTTTGTAAGTAGCAATTGGCCGGTCTTCTGCCCCACTACCTTTATTTCTGCATGCCCTTGATATCTCTATTTACTCTAACATTGATGACTTTCCTATCGAATAGCTTGAGTAAACTCGCGCCGTCAAAGACGAGTCATGGGTAAAAGGAAGACGAGTCATGGGTAAAAGGCGAGGTGTTAACGGGGTTTTCATTCTTCTGTTACGCCCCTACGTGGAACAATATACTATTCAAAGTACTTGGATTGTTCTTTACTCTCCTTTCCTGAATTTCCTCTTGGTATTATGGGGGAAAGACGTTGCTGATTTCCGTTCTCCCCCTCTGTCATTTCTGAGGCGGAAAACCCATCTAGGGACTAGTCAGGGCGTGATGTATATCTACCGTGATTTATTTTTTCTGAAAATTAGAGTTGTAAAAGTAGAAATTATGATTTTTTGGAGTTTTTGTACGACCAACACAGAAGGCCAACCACCGTTAGGGCACATAAAACCCAGTGGTATTTGAAGGTGATGCAGCGGAAACCGCAGCTCTATTCTTGTCGGAAACTCCCCGGTTTAATGTTTAGACGATTCTGGGTGGCTCAACCATGTCACTAATGGATAAGTCAGAGGAGGCTTGTCAACAGATCAACCGAAATGCTGCAGCTCTCTGTGGGCGGGAAGGAAAGAAGGTGAGTAAAATCTATGTCGATTTACACAGAAGTTAACCCTGAGTGGTATTTTTACTTGTACATTAAACGCTATCTTCTTGACCGGGAAAGCACGGGATATTCTATTGTCACCCGCATTAGCCTCCGGGGCGAGTGAGTAGGGGGGGGCTTACTTGGCAATTTAAAAAGTCTCCGGACCCTTTTGCGCCAAGACAGGTACTAATAAATGCAAAGCGTCCGGAGACTTTTTAAATTGCCAAGTGCTGCTCTATCTCAATATCTTTTGGCGGTTGTCGTTCTGTATTTTTTTTGATTCGTTACCTAAGAGCTGCCTACTCGCCAACCTAGCATTCTCCACCAGGGGTATTAGGTCCCGGGGGTAAGCTAACCTCATTCTTCCTTATCGCTCAGAGTATCTAGGATTTCACCATCCGAGAACCCCTATTCAACTGGTGTTGAATGGTCAGTTAGAAGAACCCTGATCACAGGAAATAAAGAAGAACCACTACCATGGCCTGAATACCATCTCGCTACACCTGCCCACAATCAAATTTCGATAAAACCGCCCCCGGCCCTAGGACAACCTAATGAGCGCGGGTCCATACAGCAGACGCCATGGCCCGAAGCCCGCGGATGCCTCGGGACAGCGGGGGCCTGGCTTGAAAACCCCCGTGAGCGCGGTTTTATGAGTATGTTAGATTAGCGGCCCCCACGGTTAGTTGGCTAAATTAACCTTTCAAAAACCGGGACAATTCACATTTACCGAATTTCGGGTATTCAGGAAGAGCGATTTACCCTCTTTCCGAAACCTTGGCAAGGACCTCACGACTTTTTTTCGAGTCTTGGCCGTCTAGGAGATGCGGTGGTATTGGGTTCCCTACGAAGGCGCCGCAAAATCACCAAACTGAAAAGCCGGATGAGGTAGTCAAGGGAAGAGCGGGGAGGTGAAAAAAAATGGAGGGAAGTTACCTAGCAGAGATATGCCGGGGAAGTGGTGACCAACTGTGAAGTTCGTGTCTGCTACATGAACCTCTGTGACAACGGCCCCCGATATTGGACCCTTAAGTGCAGGGGGCGGGATCTACTTGGCGGTTTATAAAGTATTCGGACGCCTTGGCACTAATAGTTCATTTGTGTGTGCCAAGCGTCCGAACACCTTATAAATGGCCAAGTATACAGCGCCATGCACCATGACAGATTTTCTTGAATCTACTCTGATACCCGCAAAACACCCTAGAGTTCGTACTCCTGGAACATGCCATTCGTTAAAATACCTAGCCACTATATTCCGTCAATATAGACATCATCCTATTCAGTACCAATCTGTTAGTGCAGAAAAGACAGCCGGCTAAGAGCTGGTGTGCTTTCTCCAAATTCCTAGACAGAGTGAAGCATGATAATCGCATTCTAACCCCGGGTTCCGATCGAACACCATCCCCCGGACTTTGGGGGACTCTGCACCAATATTTATATTGGTGCCTTGATTTCTTAAGAGAATAGTCACAAAAAAACCAATTAAAAGTGATATGAAGGAGCATTTCAGCTACCACAAGTTTTAGTTGTGCAATATATACAATGGGGACTACATGTAGTTGTAGAGTATGATATGAATAGCATCGGGCCTTTGAAATGTCAGGGAGTTGGAAAAACAACTTGCTCAGCTTGTAGCTAGACTTATCCGTGTAACCTAATAAAACCCAACCCCGAGTGGTATGCTGATTTTGCTGGAAGCCTTCTTTTGCATTTTGTGCCAGGATCGAGATACCAGGTGACTCATTTATTTCTTCGCCGTTCCTATGCTTGAGCACCAAAGCCGGCCCTGGGCACACTGTCAACCAACCACAAATCCGCTGGGACTTCAGTGCATACTTCGCTGGCAGGCGGGAAGGGCGAGTGGAAGTTTAATGTGTGGTATAAGTAATGACGCCAAGACCATTGGCACCACGAGCTGTCACTCGGGGAATTAGAGGCAAGGAGTCTGGAAACGGCAGGTGGGCAAAGAACAAGCTCGAATGATTTTTCCGTGCTGGTGCAATGGTTCTGGGCATGAATGGAAGTTGTCAGGATACCAAAAAATCTTTAGAGCTACTACTAAATTACACAGAATATATCACAGCTATCCACATGCAATTTGATTACTCCACTTACTGGTTGAGACTGATCCGGTTTTTATTTCTTTCGTGTTATAGGTGATGTTATTTATTTCTTGCACGATTCCAACATTAAAATCATTCAAGTCGTGACTCAAACTCTGATTAAATTTTTGCTGCCGGCAGTCCTCGATCAGTGCCCGGGATCCCCTGGGCCTGAGGTCCAAGATTTAGCTAATGGTTACCGACTTAGCAAGGGGGTAGGCTATCGGAAATAAAGTAGGAAATTTCTCCTTAGGGTTTCCCTAGGCATACGCCTGCCTAGTAAATCATATCTCAGCTTAACCCATTTAACCGCTTTCCCCGGTGGAGGATATTAGGCAGGGGGCTCGGTTATATTTTCCACCCAGCCAGATATACCTGGTGACTGTGTTTTTGTCCTCTTCTTATTCCTTTATTTTGCACATTACCCCAGGTTTTATATGCCAGGTTTTAGGAGCACGCGGACCAGCTGAAGGGGATAGAGCAGGAGGAAAAAACTGGGGACAGAAGATCCAATCAGATCTCCTAAATTTTTTTTATTAGTATCTCCCTCACGGATAACGTCATATATGTGTAAATATAAGACCTGTACGGGGGCTCGGGCGCCCCCGGGCACTAAGGAGGAGTAAGAATATTCCACACAGTAGAAACTCGTAATCAGTACCAATTTTGTGGAAAATTGGTTTGAGAATGGATCCGCGTTCCCGGAATAATTACGCAGCTGCACCGGTTAGGCATTACTCATAAACCCGCAGCATCCTTTTCAGCCACCGCAGGCTCTGGTAGAAAGACCCAAGGTCTAGAGCGATAAACGACCCAAGAAACCACAGCGAGCAAGTGGCCTTCTTAAAAGTGAGACCACCGGTTGAGGTGTGGAGAATCTTTTCACTAATGAGCATTGGTCATTCTATACCTACAAGGGTGGAAGGGGTATACGTTTAGTTGTTTTTAGCACCCTTTGTAAGTTAGGGGCTTTTCACCTTATAGAATTTGCCCTTTACCCCATCTGTTGCCACACTTTATTCTCCGTACCTGGTATACCTTAGGCTAAAGTTCGTAGCAAGGCGCCTCACCCCGGACTGGCTCGCCTCTGGCTATTTCTCCTGGAGGATTTGAGACTTTGTGTAATTAAGCGACACTCGGTATCTTGGCAACTTTCCATTTCAACCAGATCAGAGTACCCGAAGGCCCCCCAAAACAGGATTAGCGTGGTGGCTACTAATTTTAATGTGTTAAACCGTACAAGGGATAGACCTGCTCTTTCCCTTTTTGGTTGGATATCAGTCGCAGCCGGTATCCGACAGACCGATAGATCTTGTTTCCCTTATATCTCTATTAGAGTCAGCTCCATCAGCTTTTTTCTTCAGGTTACCGGTCACATTCCATAGCCGCCGGTGGAGTATATCCCCGATCAAGTTATCCCATCGTATATGAGGAAATCATAGAGCAGTATAGAGCAAGCCAAAGTCCACAACCGCGCCCCCGTTGAACACCCCATCGTCGCTTCCGCGCCAGTATCCCACAATTACGCAGCAGGTTGCCAAGATGGCAAGAGATCAACCACTCGCCAGGCACGGCATATCGAGCTGGGAGCAGAGCGCACCAATAAATGACAACCTGAAAACCATTTCCTTATAAAAAATAGATAAAGAATCTAAGATAGCTCTAATATATCGAGTCACAATTGATAGAGAAACCGCTTCTCTCAGGATGGGGACCTCGCAACCCCGCACTGCTCGCCGTCGGATCCCCGTCATCAAACCCCAGCGACATCCATGGTAGTCCGACAAACCACAACAGTACTCCGGTGTAGGTATGCGTTCACAAGTCGACCGTTGTTTAGATAGAATAAACCGCCGCTGTTCAAGGGCGGAATATCACTGCAAAGTTATGTTTTCGCTAGCAAGCGAATCCAGTGCCCAGAGCATTCTCCATCAGCACACCTGGGAGAGATTTTTGCCCGGTCGTAAGCCACTGTCTCGGCTGGCCTGGAGCAAGAGATGCTATTGCCGCTCCGGTTACCCTCTCCACTTGGTCCCATTTCCAGATATATCGTTAGCGGGAGGGAACCTTGCACCGTTCACTCCCTCAAATCCCTTGTCATATACCTAGGGAGAAGAGCTAGTTAAGTAAACCCGCGTAACCAGCCAGCTTAGCTGTCGGTATCATAGGCTCTTGCCAGGGGAATTCACAACTTAGGTGTCCGGCCTCCGCTCGGCTGCAC